TGGCTCAAAGCTTTCTAAGAACGAGTATCAGGAGAAAATCACAATGAAGTTTGTTATTCACAGTACTTATAAGATGAAAGCAAATCAGCTATCTGGGAGGCACATGTTTATTCTAGTTCTAAGACCAAAGAGAAATTTCTCCTGTGGGTCCTCATAAAAATGATACACTGAAATATATTGAAACACATCCTTAAAGGGAAAAAAATGTCTTCTCAGTAAACCCAGTTTCATGTCTGTTATTTATAAAACCTCCTAATACAAAGTGCTAAGAAGACACCGAGGACAAGCGCGGGATAATGATACAGTTTTAGAATGCTATTCAGTGAGGCTCTAGCTTAATTGAGGAATATAAAGAGAACTAGAAATTAAATCTAAATCCCTTTGTGTAATAATTTTATAACTAGTTGAAATGTCTAAAAGAACTGTTTGATGAATTTAGTAATAATTTACTCAAAGTGCATAAATGTTATTCTTGTAAATCCCATTTTCCCTAATTATAAGTCGAAACTGAAAAAAGCCAAATACAAAAACTGTTATAGAATAAACAAACACGTCTTGACAGACTATATTAACCTTGTAGTTCCCAGACCATTGTCTAGAGGAATAGAGTGGCTTTGACCGGATTCCTGTAGTCTCATCTGAATGGTAGAAATACAGCAGCAGCTTTACATTCATTGATCAGCAATAATGGGCCTGGTGTTAAATCAAGATTTCCAGATAGTCCTTACAGTATTTGCATAACTCTTTATAATCACCAAATTCAATGCAAGAAAGATGATTCTACTATCAAATATCTCCCATTTTTCTTCTACTCTAACAAAAGAGGATTTATTTTTAGAAGGATGCATCAAATTTGTTTTCAAAATCCCTTTCCTCATTTAAACTATATGTTTCCCTAAAATAAAACTATTTAATCATTTAGTATTCCAGTTACAGAAACAATCAAGAAATGCTATAGTTAATTTAAAGAAACCTGTTCAAAGCAATGATAACAAGTATCATTGCGAATTAAATCAAGAAGAAGATGGAACATTAAATATAACATGAATCAGTGATTTTCAAAATGAGAAATGTTAGTTTTCTGTATTCATCTTGTACAAATATATGTACCTATGCTTGGCAAGTCTCGATGACAAATAGAGTTAATCTAAAAAAAGAGATTCATCCTTAAACTTACATTGAGATTAAGCAATAAAATCGAAATAAGAAACATGAGATGATTTTAAGAGAAAAATGGTATTCAAAACTAATGAAAGAAGATGAAGAGTAAAATATACATCTTGATCAAGTAAGCATTTTTATTTTTTGCAAAACCCTCTTCCAGATGGTCATCACTAAATCATTCTGAAAGCTGACAGAATACTTTTCAACCCTAACTTCCTCAGTGGAATCACATTTTCTCTTTTTCTGAAACAAGGTATTTTTTATCTACCTACAAGTATAAAATTTCAAATAAAAATTAACATGGAGTTCTGACTTTAACTCTATAGTAGTAGGAAATTCTAAAAACTTAAGACCCAAAGAAACTTGTTAACTTGAGTTTTCAATGTAGGATAGAAATACATAATTTCTTGACTAAACAATCTTTTTTTTTTTTTTAAGTAAAGTCTAACCTAGTTCTTAAGACTCTAATATAGCAACTATTAAAAGAAATGACAAATACTGCACTTTAATTTTTAGATATACTGTTCTAAACAATGTAATTTCAGTCTCTAAAGACTCATGTGGGTCTAGAAAGTACATTGCTCACTCTATGATATATGCCCTATACACCACTTACAATAATTGGATTTTATTTTTAAAATATAACTTTGGAGTAAACCTCATATCCCTAAAGATGTTTTCTATTTTGTACCAATTCATGAAATGTCTCATTTCTCTTAAAATTCATTTTTTAGCAAAAGAGTATCATACTGAACAAAGTTTCTCTAGGACAAGTCACTTTTTTTTTTTTTTTTTCTGCTAGCTATTATTATGACTGAATTTAGCTTGTTAGGCTATATACATCAGAAATCCTTTTCCAGGATTCTACTCCTGTATAACAGACTACCCCAAGACTTAGCGGCTTAAAACAATTTATTGTCTTCTCTTATAGTTCTGGAGGTTGATGAGTTTAGCTGGGCAGTTCTTATTTAATATACCTCACATAGGTGTAGGCAAATTACGACCGGCTGCAATCACCTGAAGGCTTCTTTACTCATATATCTGATGCATAGGTGGGGGATGGCAGAAAGAGCCGTGGTTGATCAGGCATGTGGCATATTTCTTTCCTTTTCACTCTCCTCCCCCACCCATGAGGCTTCTCCAAATAGTTAGCCTGGGCTTCCTCATATTCCTGGTGGTCTCAGGTTAGACTTCTTGCATGGTGGCTAACTCCAAGTCGTCCGAATGGAACTGCAGTACTTTTTATAAACTAGCCTCAGGAGTCTCAGAATGTCAATCTGCTGCATTCTATTGATCAAGAATGTCACTAAAGTCAAGAGGAGGGGAGTTAGACCCCACTTTTCAATTGGAAGAATTAGGAAGAAAATATAGCCATCTTTAATCTACCACAATATCTATTCAAAAATGGAAGATTACCAGATTTCTTTAAACTTCCTTTTTCCTCCATAGCGAATTTAAGAGATTCTAATTAGCATAAAACCCCTAAACTCAGAGCATGTTATTTAGCTAATGTATTAATTGGTTACTAATTAGCAATTAAGAAAAACAATATGGAAACATAAAATTTACCTTTATGCTCATTTTGGCCCCTTGACAAAAACATTCCTTTTAAAATATTTTAAATGACAAAACCAAATTCCTGAATGTATAGGTTGATGATTGGAAACTGTGTTCTTCTCATGGCAGATTTCTAAATAAAGCAGCATTCCTAAATAAAGCACATTTCTAAAAAGCAGCATTACCTCTAGATGTCTATTTCAGTTATTTTGTTATTGCATAACAAACTACCCCAAAGTTAATGGCTTGAAAGAACAATAATCACAAATCCGTAGGTCAGCATTTTGGGGTCTAAACTGGGCAACTCCTCTACACAGCATTGACTGGAGTCATTCAATGCTATTAGGCTGGCAGCTGGATAGGACTGGAGGGTTCAAGATAGCCTCACTCACATGCCTGACACCTGAGCCATCTCCTTTTGGTGGATTCTTATGATCCTTCTGGCAGACTAGTCAAACTTCTTACATGAAGGGTTCCAAAGGCAAGTGTTCTAAAATACAGGAAAGAAAGCTGCAATATCATAAAGCCTGTGCAGGACACTGGCACAGCAACACTTATGCCAAATTCTCTTGGTCAAAATAATCACAGAGTTCATCCAGATTCAGAAAGAGAAGGCATAGAGCCCATCTCTGGATAAAAAGAATTTGCAGCTATCTTTAATTTGCCACAGGACCCATTAGGAGAAGACGATTCTGAAGACATGTGCTAGAATCTCTCCTGGAATTCCTTTTGGAGTTAGCTGAAAGCCAGATACATAGAGAAGACTCAATTAATGTGAATTAGAAGTAACAATGAACCAAAGATGCAGGGTATATTGCTTACATTCGACTGAAAAGGAGAATCCAAAAGTCCTAAATGTGAAAAATGTTTTCCAATTATGGTCAAATAAAAATCCTTTAATATGAAAAGGTGTTAAATAGGACTTTTTTAAAAAATCGAATATTATATATCTATCAGAAGAATACCTGTTATAAAGCATTACATTCATCTCTAGTCAATCAGAAGTAACTTGTAAAAATAAAATTATTTAGTTTTTTGGGGGGGGCGTGGCTTTTTTTTCAAAAGCTAAAGAAAGATTAAACATACCTTTTATACTCAATTTTCAAAGCAAAACTTAAGTCTTATTCAATTTTGTTTACTATATCTATATAAATGTGCTGAATGAGGCTATATATACTTTCCCACAGATAAATAACATAAAACTTAGGTTACCAGGGCCCTTCACAATCAAACATACCACTTTCCCAGCCTCGTTTATTCCTGGTTTCTTCCCAGTGCCCACCAGTAACACACCTAAAATTGAAGAAACTGTGTTTATTACTCATTGCAGTAAAAGAGACTGAATATCATGAAGAATTGTGGGCATCTCAGTAAGGTGTAAGGACTTATAGAATTTGGGCTTGTTTTCCTATAACTTTGGCTATCTTACTAAATTACTAAGGAAGAAGAAAAACTAGTCCAAGGTTAAGGTTGTTAATTGGTAAAGAAGCAGAATTCATCATATTATACTGGATATGGTGATTTTGGTCATTTTTGTGACAATGTTTATGTTTTGTCTATGTTCAGGTATGGTAATACAATGATCTTATTCTTTTCTTGATCTCTGACTGACACAGAGTAATTCTGTCTGATTCTGATGTTTGTG